CCACTGTGACTGTGAACCCTCAAGCCAATTCCCTGGTCACACCTTAAATCACCGAAAACCCTCAACTCCAAAACTCAACCCCAACGAGAAACCGAGATACATGGTCTCCGGGGCATGAGTAATCCGCCTTCCTGGGCTTGGACTTTTGTTGCAGACAGGCTTCGGATGTTAGAACATATGGCTTCTAGGTTGAACGGCTTACGGTTAAGGTTTGAAAGGCTTCGGCCTTACATTTAAGGCCCGCGGGATTTAAACCCCAAGGGGTTCGAGTTGAAAGCTAAGGTTGAGGCGGTTGTGTATCGTGCCTACAGACCTTCAACCATTAAGTGCACAACCGAAGTGTTAAGCTCCAAAGCTTGGCCCCCAACCTCAAACAGGAAACCTCTGTTAAACCTCTGTCGCACCCAGCTCGAGCCTACAAACGTGCTTCTAGATGTAGGGTTCAGGTCAATCTTTGAATCTCAAGCAATCTCAAGCAAGCTAGGAATCATTCCGGTGGTGGTCCTTGCGTATTGCTATAGGGCGACACGAAACACCAATTGAACAAGTTGGCCTCTTCTTGCCTTCTTGTAACTCCAACTCTATCCATCCAGGTCAAAACAAGCCCTCACCTCTAGTATCGTCACTAGGACAAAGCGCCTCGAAAGCAAGGCGTGCTCGGGGGCCACTTCATTCCACGATGTTGAGCGCTAAGGGTCCAAATGTGCAACTACAAGTAGCTGACTCTAGTTCCGGGTCGGAGAAATCGTCAAGAGTCGCATCCGGGACCTGAACCCCTGCTCTAAGAGTCACACGGAGCCTGCCTGAAACCGCTTGGAGCATGGAGCTGAACGCAAGAGACAGATATTGGCACCAGAAAACATAATTCGCTGGCTATGCTTTGGGCGTTGGATGGACAGCCTTGACACAAAAACTCCGCGATGCATACTCGGCCCGCTTTGATCGCATGATGCCAGCTCCACGTGGAAACAGCCCCGGGCCGGAGCCCGATACCCGCGCCGATATTCATGTCGTCAGGGTTTAAACACACTTCTTGTCTGGCCCGAGGACTCCTCTTTTTGCTCGATAAGACAATCTCCATAAATTCGGTGACGTTCCTGTCAGCACAGGCATTTGTGCCATCTGTGTCATCTGGTTCTGACATTTGAGTACTGCGCGCACCATCCAACCCTCAGAAGCCGCGCACGAAACATGACGCAGCCTTGACATGCACTGACAACTTTCAGGGTCTAAAGGACGTAAGCCCAAACCCTACGTCCGAAAACGCAAGACCTACAACACAAGCCCAGACCCCCAACCATAAGTTCGCCACCCGAAAGTACCCGAATCTTCAACCTTGAACCCTAAACCAACCCTATCCAGACCCCCAAACTACCCTCTTCTACATATTCTTCGGAATAGAGAACCCCGTTCGAGGGTACTTGGGTAAACCTTAGCAAAGGGGCGTGTCTGAAAATGGGCGATCCCAATGTAAACCCTGCATGAGAGCATCCTTCCTATAAGGACCACAACAACAAGGCACCCCTAGTTCTGAGAAACCTCCACATATTTCCAAATCGAGTCCGTCGTCCTCCCCACATAGATCCCTGGCCGGGGGCGATTCTCCTGGCGGTCTTCTTCCGGGGGGTGGTCCAGGATCTACCGTTGTCCCGAGGATTTTTTGAAGCACCTATTTTCCGATCTGGGGTTTTAACTGTAACGGGATTTAATATCTGGGGGTCTTGGTGTCTACCCATATTGATCAAGTCCGATGTTCCATCTTTACTAAAGAGCACGAGGCCCTTAATTCGCCGCTTACTGATGACAAAATCCTGCATCATGAAATCTAGTTTAGAGGTAATGCAGAAACTCTGCCCATCAACACTAGAACCCTTGTGATCTGCAAAAGTGTCTTGGCTACAGCAAAAGGTAGTTGGTGGTCTAGGCGGGGGTTGGAGTTTCGGGCTTAGGTGCCTGCAAACATGCTCATTTACAGCGCCTGTGAATAGGTTCCATGACCCCGTTTAACGGTGCCATTGATAGAGGCCTCGTCGTCCATGATCTGGCACCACCCCTATTACCTTTGCACACCCAAAATACCCCATCTGCAACCGTGACATGTTTCGCGGTCTGCAAAAGAGTAGGTAGCAGGAAAATCCACTGGCCGTGTGGCAAGTATAGAACGAGTTGCGTCGTCTCGAGAACAGGAAATCCGCAGTACTCCAAGGTCTACGGCTCAGGAGTGCGGTTTGTGCTCTCGAGTTTAGTGATTGGGTAAGAAGTCCTGGTCAACACCGCCTGCCATGCCCGGGCGAGACGATGGCGACTGTTTGGGGACGCAGCAGAAGCGCTAGCTGCAGTTGTTCCGAAAGACTTCGCCTACCCTGAGGGAACATCTACGCCCGCAGAGGACCCTAGAGGGCCCTGCATCCTAGTTGCCAGCCCACCAGGAACCCAAATCTCAAAACCTCATCCTTACACACCCGTGAACCCTGCAGTTGGTTCTGCATCTCTCGCAAGCTCATAGTCATGTCAGATTTTGCCTCTCCAACTCGCATGCATAGCTCTCAGGTGCTGCGGAGCTTGAGGCTTTGTTTAGAATGCTGCGGCAGGCGGCTCGTCCTCTCACACACTGCCACTCAGAGCTTCCGCTTCAAGGTTGAGGTGAGCCCTCTTCGGTCGTAACGGTTGATGTAAGGCTACAATGTAAGGGTGCATGCGCCGATCCAGGGCCAGAGCAGTTAAGGATTCAATGTTGAGCACGACCCCAGCTTCAAAGCACACTATAGCAACTCTCTCTTACGGTCTCCTCAACCTGTACCAAGGGCACCGTGGGAGCACAAACCTTTCGAAACTCTATATCGCAGTCTCGACGGCAAACTTTAAAGCTCGACACCTACTGCCTACACGGCTTTGGCTGCTGCCACGCCCAAGGCCTAAGCTGCGTACCTAAAACCCCACAGGTTCTGGGTTTACGGTCAAAGACTTGGAGTTGACCAAGAGTCTCGCAGATAAGCTCCGAAATTAACAAAATGTTCGGAATCCCATAGCGAAGAAATTGTACTCTCTCTCTCTCTCTCTGGATCCTGTGCTTGCCCGATTATCGTCGGCTCATAATCTCATTTGTACAGCGAGTATGCATGTGACTTTCATAGTCAACACAAACCCGAAACACCCCTATTAAACCTCTAAGCCGTAAATTACTCTAGCGTGTTGCTTTACAAGCCTCTTCTCGACGCCAAGACACTTTGGTGCGTCTAGAAGCCTAGGGTGCCTTATTGTTGCAAGTGGGGACATCACGGTACAGGGTTCAAGCTTAGCGACGACCACAGTGTATATGTACCACGAAACACCTTCTTGCTGCACCACTCTGTGCAAGGCTAGAGTGGAATGTGTGCAGAACCCTGCCCCCCTACCAAGTTTGGCCGCTGCCGCTGTTGACCCACAAGCCCGTAGTCTGAGCCCTTGAGGTTATTCTGGATCCGTGGTCAGGTCGGTTCTTCTCGTGCCAGTTCTGAGCAGCGGGCTGTTGTGCAAATACTTCGTGACTTGCACAACGAAGTCAGCCGCATGACTGGCCAGTCGCGAAGGGTATGGCAGGTTGGCTTTAGGGATCACGCATTTGCGTTTCAGGGTTTACCTAGGCTATCCTGCAAACTTGGGCTCTAGAGGTTCGTCTTTGTGTTCATCGGGGGAAACATACCCGAAAGGTTTTGCAGGCTCCCCACTCAAGCACCTTCTTAAGAGAGAACCGAGCGTACGTGGTCGCACACATTGTAAGGCATCCAACGGTTTTTGTCGAAAGACCTGATGGAATCAGGATCTCGCGGCCGCTCACCCCGGTGATTCTCAGCGATATTTGTCGGTCGATAGGATGCGTGGACCCTGTGAGCACAACCGGGATGACAGCCCTATGTTTATGCTGAGAACTAAGGGACAAGGGTACTGGCTTCCGTTCTTCTGCGATTTCGGCTTCAGGGTGGAGGGTCCAAGTAGGCTCCTGCCCAAGGCCACAGCAATCGCGATGAGCACTGGTCACTGGAAGCCGAAAATGCCAACCCAAAGCCTGTAATCATGCCATATTCCCCACAAAATTGTGGCAAACCACCCTGCAAGAACTCCACGATCGCATCTTGAAGCACCGATAGTGCCCCACAACATTAACTAACTGCAAGAAGTCATCACATGCACGATAGATGTACTGAATGAAGTAGTGAGGCCGCGAAGCTGAGTGCAAGCGAAACAAACTGTTGATGGTCGTCACATGCGCGATTGGTACCAATCTTCACGGTAATGCTGCCATGATGTAGTTCCTCAAGCCCAACCCCCCTCGTTGAACACTTAGCAAACACGCGCGCGCGAGTAGCAGCAGTGGCAATCGCGATGGTACAGCAGGGTCTGCCCGTTGCCTCAATGCCGTGCTTGCCTGCCACAGCTCGCGGCCCGAGCCACAGCCTTCCACCGAAAGGCCGAAAGGGCTTGGGTTGCTGGCTACCTCTGTCGGGACGCTCTGACACGACATGTTCCGCCTCAGCCTAAGTACGCTGAAGGAGCAGAACACCTAATTAAGACAAGTGGGTCTCGCTTCTATGGGTTGGGGGTTGACGGCTCCAGGGCTCACTTGCGATTCTGCTCCATTTTAATGACACTGGTGCGACGCCAAAAAAAGGCAGGCAGGAGCTGTTTCTCTAACCTTTGGTCAAGTCAAGACGTCAGGGCTTTGTTAAAGCAGTCCTTGCTATGGCCGTAGGAACTTCACTTCCTGTACTAAGCGGTAGGTGGGTTAAAGCGCTCCGATTGCTGAGACCTTGGGTTCAGGTCGGTTCCGGTTTATGGCGCCGCTCTGCGACCTGGGGCTTTCGGAGCTTAGATTCTCGCGCTGCTAAGGCTGTCTGAAGAACACTCCCAAGCTCCTTTCCTCTTCCAAAAGCTCAGGAGCTGGCCACCCGAATGCTTAGTCATAAGACCTTCCCATTCATTATGAACACCCGAACCCTATTGCATACGCCGTGATCCCGAAATCAACACATATCTTCCGGGTGCGGGCCTTCGAGATACTGCTGGAAGCCATGCCACATGCCCGGGAAGATGTCTAGGTAGACCTCTGAGGTGTTTTTTGATTGGCGGTTGAGGGTTGGGCTTTCAGGTGTAGGGGCGTTCGTCGTTTTGCAATCGTGATGCAGTGCTTTGGTGTCTTGGCGGAAACGTGTTCACTCGGGTACATGTGTGAAATCACCACCGTGGTTTCAGCGGCAGCCACACACACAAACTTCACGGCCTGGCAAGAAACACTGCCATTCAGACTGCCTGAATCGTGATTCGATATTCGTCGCGAAATGGCTCGGATGCAGTGCAACACTGCTCCAAGTTACTTAGGAGGTAAGCGAAAATGACTTTGGAAGTCGCCGAAAACCGAACCAAGAGCCGTGCTGATTATATTGTGGCTTAGACGATATCATGCTACAGATGTAAAGACGAGAGGCGCCTTAGGTCATCTTTCGGACGTTGCCGAAGGCCTAACAGCCAGACTTCTGAATCCAGACAATGGGCCGCCAGCGATGAAGTCATGCCAACAAGTCTTGCAAATCTTACGGCCACGGAAAAAACCAATACCCTGAAATCCAACACTCCGAAACTCCCACACTCCAACTCCGAACACCAAAAACTCAAAAGCCTTGCAGCCACTGACCACTCGACCCCCAAATGCAAACACCCCTGCTGCTCTGTTGCTCGGGGACAGGCTCTTGCCCCGTGCTCGGCAGCTCGCTGGGCGAAGATGATGCTGTCACCTAGTTTGGCTTTGAGGGGTCCTTTCCAGCCTAGAGAGAGAAGCACTGCTCAAAGCTCAGGTTTTACGGGATTGCTGGTGCTTTGCAGTGCTTCGGGTTCATAGAGGAGGGTTCAGTATTTGCGGGGTTGAGCGTCCAGGGGCTCAGGGTTTACAGCTGCGAAGTTGGGTTCCGCAGTGGCCCTTTAGAAACAGCGCAAATTGAAAGCCGACAAAGATGTTTAAAGCATTACATGGGAGCATGGGCTGGCATCCTCATCCCATGGGGTTCTTGAAGTACATGCTGCTGTGAAGTCTCCCTCAAACCCTGAACTCTGATCCGTAGACCCTGGCCTCTCAGTCTCAACCCTGTGCAAAACCTGCTAAACCCTACACCCTCAACGATATGCAGACTAGCCGACTAGCTGACTAGCCCTCCTTATTCCAGATCTTCTGTACCTGAACCCCCAATCACCCGACGAGTCGGTTGCCTGCCAGGACCTCCGTGCCACTCACGGCGATGTATGCGGGCGGAAGTCTGGCGAGGTGCACCTCGCGATCTGCTGGCGTGGGTGCGGGAGCGAGACAGGTGCGAAGAGGGACCAGGGTGCATGGGCTGTACGGTTCGTAGGCGGTGCGCTGTTTCAGTTCCCTCTGTATAACGAAGCAAGTAACACTATAGTCACAGTACCCTTAGAAGACGACCTGAACTGTTTCTGAACTTGGAGCCCTCAGGCCGAAACCCTGAATTTGGCTGGAAAATACCGTACAGGACCTCTCCGAAAGCTCGAATTCTTCAGATAGTCTTCAGCCATGCCATAAGCTTTCAGGACTTTGGTCTCAGGGTCCCAGAGCCGTTGGCCCAAATCCGACGAAACTCCAGCACAAGATATCACAAGGACTCCTAGAATGGAACCCTACAAGAACCCTCATGATACTCCGACTTGCGGTTTCTGTGGGGTCGGAATGAGCCAACGACACGTCGAATACATCCTCCTGACGTGTTATGGTATGGTAGTTTCACAAAAAGGTGGGGGCTACCATACGCCCTACGTAGTCGGATCCCCACCATAGGATCCTGATCGTGAGGACCCACGGGTAACGGAAATCTCACCGGGCAGGCTCCACAATGGTTGAGCCTTCTGGATGAAGGCACACTCAAGAACTCCGAACCTGTTTTCAAAACCCCACACCCTCAAGCAGGACCTGGGAATTGAGGATTTAGGTTTGAAAGTTTAGGGCCGCGGGTTCAGGGATTAATACATCTGACCAAGGTGTCTTGAACTGCGAACCCGAACAAGAGAAATTACAACCAACGTGAAGCTCGAACCCCACAGCCTGAAGGTATCCGTTCATCTGTTACATAGTCTTTCAAGACTGTCGCAGGACAGTTCGCGCGGGTGGCGAATGAAAATCCCAGAAAGCCCATCATATCCCTGCTTCATCGGGATCACGGGTTTACACAAGTGGTCTAGGGTTGGAATGTGGTAGCTGTACTGACAGTCACTACTTTTCGGGGTGAATGGACTCTTCGGGGTTCATGGACTCTCCAAGAGCTAACCGAATTCGAGTGTCACAAAGCTGGGCTTGGGGTCTACACATGCATCAAAAGGTAGTGCTACAGAAATAAACAGACTGAGGATGACTTCATGGAAGGAAGCCAAATCCTGATCAAGCGCTACAAGCCCCAAATCCTTGACGAGCACTTCCAACACATTACGCTGGTGTCTGAAAGAAAACCCACCAATCCTAAGCCCTAAATCATCTGCTAGTTCCGGGCTCTTCGGGGGTCTAGCTGCGGGGACAAGAGCGGATGTCGGGCTCAATGAGTCAAGGCTTGTCGTTTGAGGTTTTCAGGTTCAGGCTAGAGTGTAGGGCTGTCAAGTTGCATTTCGAACAGCTGAGAAGGGTCTCTGTCAAAAAAGAGAAACTCTACGATGATTCCCAAAGCGCAAAGATCAGCGGTCTCTAAACTGTGTGTCCATGGAGCTGAATTCAAGAAACTGCACAGCGCTTCTGATCTTATTATGTTAATCAGGGGAATCATCCATAAGGGGATACGCACCCAGTTGAACCCCAGGTCTAACTTAAAGCGTATTGGGGTCTTTGGGTAAGCCCCCTTGACAAGCCCCCGTCTACGCTTCCTCCCCGATCCTCTCTGGGAGGGTCAGCGTGGCTACTACTGCGAGCATGCACAAACTGCCGAAGGCTGGACAAGACACTGCCTCAGGTAGGGATTGAGGGTTCAGGGTTTCCAGTTTAGGGCTGTGGGTTTGATTAATGAAGGTTCGGAGGCAAACTTACCTATCGCGGATGAACTCACGGTTACGGTTAATTCAGCTAAACAGAGTACCAGAGATCAACAACGCTTCGGTAAGTAAAATGGTCGGCGCCGATGAGGGCGGAAGAGTTTTGGTTTTGCTAGCATTCGATTTCGACTCAAGCCGTGCTTGCTGTAAAGGCACCAGCGCAGTACATGATTCGGCTCTGGAGGGAATCGTTTTGAGTTTAGAGTTTCTGTGATCAGGGGAGATCTTGATAACGGGATGCAGGGTTGATGGACTAGAGTTTCAGCATGGTAAGTTTAGGATCCATGCAGGATCCAAAGCTTCGGGCTCCGAGCCCCAACTAGTCCTACATGCAGGATCCAAAGCTTCGGGCTCCGAGCCCTGAGTTGGGGCATGGCCCTACAGTCCTACGCGGCCAGGAAGAGCGAACCTCGGATTTCATCGCTACGGCGACGGCTAAAGCCATCTCCCAGCCTTGAAACCTGCAGCAAAAACTCAAACCTCTCCCGGACTCCAGGATCAACTAAACAGGCAAACGAATGTCATACCTCTCGGCTTCGGGTAGACTTAGCTGTCAAGCCGCAGCCGGGAGGGTCCCAGACATGGGGGCGAGGATGCCACCCACACGCGCAGTGATCTCAAAGGCTTTGGGTTGGCAGGGCTTCGGATTTGGGTCAGGGTTCTGTGTGGCTGAGAAGGTTCCCTCAAAAGGGATTCGGATGTAGGGTTCGGGGTACGTATGTTTACTGTGCATGCCCTGCTGCCCAAACTCCAATCACTGAAAGTTTGTATAAGCCACTAAGATTCTCTAGGGCTCTTACTACACTTCGAACCATAAACTGGAGCCTCAACAGTGGCAAGGCCGTGAACTCTGCGCTGAACGCCCCGACTCCACAGTCTAAGACTTGTTGAAGATAAACCTGAAGCGTGCATGCAGTACACCACGGGGACCGGAATACTGAAATTGGCTGATGATGGAAATTATGGTCTACGTAGTATACTCGTGTGTGGGATCACCAAAGGAAAGACACCACCAGCAAGCCTGAAAAACACAGGACACACACACACACACACACAAACACACACACTCACAACCGGGAACACAACCGACGTGACAGACAATGTCAATATCGTATATATGACAGCATCATGGGGTGCAGGGTACAAGAACGAAAATTCACCTCTACAGCACCGCAGCACAACCGCCGGAAGACTACCTGTGAGACCGAAGAACCACGAACCTGTAAATTTCTTCCTGGCCTGGCACAGTGGCAGCACATTCTTCTGGCTCGATTCCGGAAAGACCGTGGCCAGTGCTACCTCCAGTTGCCAGGCAAGAGAAAGAGGCTCCACACATCAGGGGGATACTCGAAACGCAAGCACTGAGGCTATTGCAGTCGGGCCGCATAAATAGTCGTGAAACAGACATTGAGACAGATCCGCCCCACCATCGCGCAAGCGATGAGGTTCCAGCCGGGCTGCAGCACTGCGCAGAAAAGCAGGCATCTGGGCCAAGGCTTAATTCTCAGTAAAGTTGTGGGTATTCAGATCTGAGATTTAGCGGTTCGGGGAAGTGCTACTCCTGCTGTTCTTGGGGCCTCTGCTGCTTCTGACCATTACGATGGTTCTCGTGGTACTCTTGGGATTATGCCTCGCATCTTGTTGCATTGCTTGCAAGGAGACCGTGTGCCCGAACGGTTTAGGGTTTTGGCTGGCGGAGTCTATGATACTTCAGGGCTCATGCGGGGTGTTGATTTAGGTTGTATTTGACCAGTTGTCTTCGGACGTTTGAGCGTTTGTCCAGAGTATTGAAGCTCAGAGCTCACAGCTCAGGAGAGGGGCTTTGATCGCAGAATCTTAGGGTTTAGGGCCTAGGTTTGAGCCCGGAAAACGTCCCAAGCCATACTAAGATGCCGTTCGAAGTATATCTTGATGTACTTGTGGCAATTTATGCAAGTGACGATCGAGAATTGCTGCCCTGGCCCCCGTGGATGCTGTGCCCCTCCCGTGTTTTGCATTGTGTTGACCCAGCGCATGATGACAGTCACCTGGTCGTGTGCTGGGGATGATGCTCCTACGTGCCTTGCATTGGGCTCTCTAAGCGGAAGCTTTCGAACACACCACTCCCTTAATTACAAACCCTGAGCAAAGCTCGAATAAGCCGGAGAACACGGCGGCCAGGAAGAAGCTACCACTTTGGAAAGCTTTCCGGCCCAGGACGTCAGCCCCAAGCACCGCCACATAGCCCAGGATATCAGCCCCGTTCCTTTCTGAGACTGAGGACGGCTGTTCAGGCGGGGGACTTGAGGGGAGGATCAATATTCATCTAGGACATTTCTGGATCCTTTCCGCAGAGTGACAAAACAGTCTTGTTGTAACGGCAGAAGAGGTTGTCCATCGCCACGCCTCCTCCGGCCGCAAATGCAGTCTGAGATCCATGCTTGCCGCTTCTGATTCCATCGGCTTTGTTGCACCCCTTCTTACGCCCCTAACTTCTGCATCATCAGTCTCCTCTCTTACAGGTGCTATGCTTGGGAGACCGCCTATCTCGACCCCGCGCGGGCAAAACCCCAGCCTTAGAACTTTCCTTGCGGCAAGAGTCAGCAACACAGAGTTGGTGTAGAGGTTCTCGGACAGCTTTCCCGCGGAGTAGCTGAGACCATAGGAGCCACAGCCACAGGCTAAAAAGCACGTCGCCAGCTTGATTGCACCTTCAGGGTCTAGGGTTTAGGGTTTAAGTTTCAGGTTTAGGTACGAATTTGATGGAAGCTTAAGGCTTCAAGCGCTAAGCTGTTGAAGCCTGACATCTTCAAAACCCCCAAATCCGGAAATGCCTTACTACCCTACCTGTTGGACCAGGAGAGCGGGTGGGCTTAGCAGGTGGATCGACCCGGCATCTTTTTGGGTGGGTTCCAATTATCGGAAAACCAACAACATTTTCTAAGACATCGCGCACAGCCGTTTGTCAACGGGTGTATTTTAGGGCACCCTCAACCCTCACCTAACCCAACACGCACAGGAAGCCTGAGATTTCTGGGCCGGACATTCCGCTGGATTCCTCGGTAGGCCAGGGATGGTCAGGCTCTCGGTCGCTCTATACGTGAAACAAGGTTCAGCATTTGGATGAACTTCAACTCGACTCGGGGTGCCCAAACGTCAAAAACTCGGAGCCGTTGGCCATCTTCTTGCAAGATGAGCAGGCTTGCTTCCGAAAAATCCTTGAACCCATGAAGCCAGCAAACAGACATAACACTGGACACCCCTGAGCTCGTTAACCGAAGCAAATCCTGGAACCAAGTCCTGGCGTCCCTGCGATGCAAGACTTGGAACTTGCCCATGTAGGAGTCTTAGAACATGGCATAAGGGACCTTCATTCATAAAGGGCCAGTCAGTTTCAGAGTCGTTACTCTCAAAACCCTCAATCAAAAAGAAACCAAAATTTCAAGAACACCCCCCTTCTCATTCCTAAACCCAAACTTCGAACACGTCGACCTAAACCCAAAGACTCAAAAACACTTAAACTCAAACAGTGAATCAATAGCCTAACCGGGCCTAACCATAAATCCCAAGCCGTCGTGAAACCCAGCACCAAAACCCGAAATCCCACATCCAAAAAGCCTTAAAGTCCTGAACTCCAGGCCGTGTGCCCTATCTTAACCGCCAACGCTAACGTCCTAACCGAGCCTTGCATCCGACTCTTGCGCGCTGCGCTTGGACATCGCTGTTGGGAGAGAGCGGAGCAGTTCCACTGGCGACTGAAAGCCTCAAACGGACCCGAACAAAATAAAGACTCGTTTAAAACATGCGTTTGACCATTCTTGGCATCCCTAAGCCCCGTCCGTCCCTTGGCCTAACTAAACCTGCAGCCCACGGGGTCTTTGGTGCTTTCGGCTTCACCAGCTGAGGCGTTGGAGTTTATTTTTCAAAGTGCAATACACCCTGTGACTCCCAGCAGGTCTCCAGAGCGCGGCCAAGATTGGCCATACACTATGGCCCTGCCGAGTTTAGGCGCTAGCCTTTGGGGCGCGCTGTCTCTCGTGCTACAGGTTTGCCCCAAACCAACAAACGCCCTGCCAGGAGACACACGGCGATTGCGAGGAGTGGCGGCAAACCGCACCACAGAAGTGCGTCGAGACGCCAATCCAGCGACCTTCCGAACTTCTTGAGAGCACGGGGTTTGGCTTAGCTTACCGTGTAACTTTTTGTGGTCGAAGACTTAAGGCTCCGAGCTAGCTCTTGTGATCTTGCATTTTGGAGCCTCAATACACGAAACAACGCCCTGGGTTAAAAGCCCTTACTGTGCTCTTCTACGATGATGATGACGATGTTGATGATGATGATGACACTGGAACAGCAATACAAATTGCTGCCCCTGCCTTGGTTCTTACAAGCGTTCATCCATCAACTCAAACCTCGTAGCAGAACTCTGGAACTCAGCCAGGTAGCTGAGTGGCTCCGCAGAAGATCGCCCTGCCACAAGCATACAAAGAACCGAAAAGAATGGGATTCAGGGTTCAGGGTCTGGGGTAGGATTCATGAAGGTTAAGGCATTTATATAAGTTCTACCCACCGACGCATTCAGAGCGTCGGGTCTCGGTCAAACCACGCAACCTGTTGAGGAGCCCGAAACCTCCAACCACCGCAAACCGAACCTTGCAACCCGAGAGCCCTTTCCCCTTCTCATGTCAATTGCAAGCCGAACCCCGTCCGCGAGTTCAGGGGAAGACGACTGCAGGCAGACTTCGGTCTAGAGGGCTTTCGGAAGCAACATGTGGTGCTAAGTGTTGGGCTAGGAGACCCCGAACATAATCACGGATCACTTCTATCCCTTGTGGCGGGGCCTAACCCACGGTGTGGAGTAAGGACTAAGGAGACTCTCGGAGGCTTCCGGGCGTGAGGGTCTACGGTTGTAGCGATCCAGGGATCGCTCAGGCTTGAAAAACTCATTTCCGAAAACTGTTGCAGAGAGGCCATGAGACTGAGTCTGAGCCCAGGCCCTGATCAAAACTAGAACCCCCAAACCCAAACTCTGCAACCTGAAACGCTCGAAGCAAATGTACCCAAAACACCTGCAATTGAAGCCTGAACTCCCGAACCCATTACAGAAACTGCAAAACGTCACAAAGCTCCAACGGCCCAGTCCAAACGCAATACCTCCAAACCCACCAGCTACTTGGAGGATGATATGGGCGGCTCTGTGCATTTATGGCACATTCAAACTCAGAACCCAAACGCTGAACCCTGCCGACACCATACGAACCCCAAGCCCCAAACCAGAAACCCTGCAGGGTGTAGATCCAAACCCTCAAACAGGTAAGCTGTAATCACCTGAGTCATATAGACCCCGGACTGCCCATCACAAAAGGATACAAGCTGCAAAAAAAATAGCAGCGACAATAACAACACCGTTGCTTCTTCAGAGCCCAGGTGAATAAGCTTCGGGCATTGCGATAGCGATAATCGAATAGGCCGTATTGATGAACGCCATGGCCTGATCCGACTAAGCGTTTAGGATTTAGGGTGTAGTAGTCGTCGTAGTAGTGGTGGTGGTGGTAGTAGTAGTAGTAGTAGTAGTAGTAGCAGTAGTAGTAGTAGTAGTAGTAGTAGTAGTAGTAGTTGAAGTAGGAGGAACAGTATGGGTAAGAGTAGAAGGAGAAGGAGTAGGAGTAGCAGGTTTGAGCAGCAGGAGGAGTAGGAGGGGGAGCAGTAGCATGGCAGTGGCCGTAGCAGTAGCAGCAACAGCAGCAGCGACGGCGGCGGTAGCAGCAGTATCAGTGGCGGCGCTAGTGGTGGGAGGAGGAGGAGGTGGGACATGGGGATTTTAGGGCCTTTAAGGGTTCCAGCACTGCGGGCTGAGGGTTGCGGGCTTTGGGAGTGTAGGTTCTCGGGTTCACGAGTCTACACCTGGTCGAGAATTGACCCAAGCCTTTTGCACCTCAATTATTGAGGCATTTCAGTTAAATGTGTCGAAACAATTTAGATGCGGGAACCAAGCGAACTCGCAATCCCATTGGGCAGAAACGCAATAAGGCCAGAACCATGCCTATCATTCTTGCCGGGGACACAGTTACAGTAACAAACACCTACACAATTAAGATAACCACCCCAACATACAAGTAAGCCCGTCTGTAACCCGTGTGATACGCTTACATCTCGCATGGAACAACGCTGCACTGAATCTGTCAGCTTTTCCAAACACAGATAGTCGAGACCTCGTGGATCAGACCCATGAAAACAGCGATTTTTGAAGAACGTCTGCACGAGTGGCTTCAGAAACGAATGATAAGAACCATGCTAAGAACGACGCTGAACATAGTGCTTGGTGGATTGCTGAACAGTGCGTGCGGGCTCAGTGGCCGCAGATGGCCATGCGCTGGATTGCGCCGATTGCGCTGGAATGCGCCGAATGGGTTGGAATGCGCTGGAAAGCACCGATTGCGCCGAATTGCGCCGATTGCGCCGAATTGCGCCAATTGCGCCGAATTGCGTCAATTGCGCCGAATTGCGCCGATTGCGCCGATTGCGCCGAATTGCGCCGATTGCGCCGAATTGCGCCGATTGCGCTGGAATTGCGCTGGAATTCTGCCTATACAGCCTGGCACACAGGCAATACTACCCTGTGGCTGTTGCAGCCTGGTTGTGTCCTTGGTTTTGCAGCCTGCCCTGTCGTACCAGGTTTTTGTGGCTCATTGCTGGCAGCAGTTCCCGCAGTCCTGCGATTTCTCTTCAACTGTCAGTCAGAGAGAGTTTATACATTTCACGTGTTGTTCTTGCATCCTATTCAGCGGATTTTTTGGCGAACGACCACGAATCTCGACTCAATTGACGTGCTCTTGTGCGTGCACCCGGAATTTTACGCGCACTTCGGAACTGTTTTGGGTTTGTTATTGTGTCTTTGTTCTTCTGAAAGTCTTCTGAAATCTATGACTACCGACCGATTCTTGAGTCAGAACCCTGACAGGTCTTGAACTCCGAGGGTGGGGCCTTGGACTCTGATGGAGCGGGGCGCCCCTGATTTTTAAATCAGAACCCTTACAGATCCTTGAACTCCGAGGGTGGGGCTTTGGACTGATGGGGCACCCCTGATTCTTAAATCAAAGCTTTGACAGATGTTGAAGAGGAGGAGGCCCTGGACTGATGGAGCGCCCATGATTTTCAGATCACCGCCTCTTAGTGAGCTTGAACTCCGGGGGTGGGGCCTCGGACGCCCCTGGTTGTTTTAATCAGAACTCTTTCAAATCTTGAACTCCGAGGGTGGGGCCTTGGACTCTGATGGAGCGGGGCGCCCCTGATTTTTAAATCAGAACCCTTACAGATCCTTGAACTCCGAGGGTGGGCTTTGGACTGATGGGGCACCCCTGATTCTTAAATCAAAGCTTTGACAGATGTTGAACTCCGAGGATGAGGACTTGGACTGATGGAGCGCCCATGATTTTCAGATCACCGCCTCTTAGTGAGCTTGAACTCCGGGGGTGGGGCCTCGGACGCCCCTGGTTTGTTTAATCAGAACTCTTTCAAATCTTGAACTCCGAGGGTGGGGCCTTGGACTCTGATGGAGCGGGGCGCCCCTGATTTTTAAATCAGAACCCTTACAGATCCTTGAACTCCGAGGGTGGGGCTTTGGACTGATGGGGCACCCCTGATTCTTAAATCAAAGCTTTGACAGATGTTGAACTCCGAGGAGGAGGCCCTGGACTGATGGAGCGCCCATGATTTTCAGATCACCGCCTCTTAGTGAGCTTGAACTCCGGGGGTGGGGCCTCGGACGCCCCTGTTTTTTTAATCAGAACTCTTTCAAAGCAGCTTGAACTCCGAGGGTCGGGCCTTGGGTTGCTGGGGCACCCCTGATTTCTAAATCACAACCCTTACAGAGCTTGAACTCCGAGGGTGGGGCCTTGGACTCTGATGGAGCGGGGCGCCCCTGATTTTTAAATCAGAACCCTTACAGATCCTTGAACTCCGAGGGTGGGGCTTTGGACTGATGGGGCACCCCTGATTCTGAAATCAAAGCTTTGACAGATGTTGAACTCCGAGGATGAGGACTTGGACTGATGGAGCGCCCATGATTTTCAGATCACCGCCTCTTAGTGAGCTTGAACTCCGGGGGTGGGGCCTCGGACGCCCCTGGTTTGTTTAATCAGAACTCTTTCAAATCTTGAACTCCGAGGGTCGGGCCTTGGGTTGCTGGGGCACCCCTGCCTTCCTTCTAAGTCGCAACCCTTACAGATCATGAACTCCGAGGGTGGGGCCTTGGACTCTGATGGAGCGGGGCGCCCCTGATTTTTAAATCAGAACCCTTACAGATCCTTGAACTCTGAGGGTGGGGCTTTGGACTGATGGGGCACCCCTGATTCTTAAATCAAAGCTTTGACAGATGTTGAACTCCGAGGAGGAGGCCCTGGACTGATGGAGCGCCCATGATTTTCAGATCACCGCCTCTTAGTGAGCTTGAACTCCGGGGGTGGGGCCTCGGACGCCCCTGGTTGTTTTAATCAGAACTCTTTCAAATCTTGAACTCCGAGGGTGGGGCCTTGGACTCTGATGGAGCGGGGCGCCCCTGATTTTTAAATCAGAACCCTTACAGATCCTTGAACTCCGAGGGTGGGGCTTTGGACTGATGGGGCACCCCTGATTCTTAAATCAAAGCTTTGACAGATGTTGAACTCCGAGGATGAGGACCCTGGACTGATGGAGCGCCCATGATTTTCAGATCACCGCCTCTTAGTGAGCTTGAACTCCGGGCGTGGGGCCTCGGACGCCCCTGGTTTTTTTATCAGAACTCTTTCAAATCTTGAACTCCGAGGGTCGGGTCTTGGCTTGATGGGGCACCCCTGATTTCTAAATCACAACCCTTACAGATCTTGAACTCCGAGGGTGGGGCCTTGGACTCTGATGGGGCGGGGCGCCCCTGATTTTAAATCAGAACCCTTACAGATCCTTGAACTCCGAGGGTGGGGCTTTGGACTGATGGGGCACCCCTGATTCTTAAATCAAAGCTTTGACAGATGTTGAACTCCGAGGATGAGGACTTGGACTGATGGAGCGCCCATGATTTTCAGATCACCGCCTCTTAGTGAGCTTGAACTCCGGGGGTGGGGCCTCGGACGCCCCTGGTTTTTTAATCAGAACTCTTTCAAATCTTGAACTCCGAGGGTCGGGCCTTGGGTTGATGGGGCACCCCTGATTTCTAAATCACAACCCTTACAGATCTTGAACTCCGAGGGTGGGGCCTTGGACTCTGATGGAGCGGGGCGCCCCTGATTTTTAAATCAGAACCCTTACAGATCCTTGAACTCCGAGGGTGGGGCTTTGGACTGATGGGGCACCCCTGATTCTGAAATCAAAGCTTTGACAGATGTTGAACTCCGAGGATGAGGACTTGGACTGATGGAGCGCCCATGATTTTCAGATCACCGCCTCTTAGTGAGCTTGAACTCCGGGGGTGGGGCCTCGGACGCCCCTGGTTTGTTTAATCAGAACTCTTTCAAATCTTGAACTCCGAGGGTCGGGCCTTGGGTTGATGGGGCACCCCTGCCTTCTTCTAAATCACAACCCTTACAGATCTTGAACTCCGAGGGTGGGGCCTTGGACTCTGATGGAGCGGGGCGCCCCTGATTTTTAAATCAGAACCCTTACAGATCCTTGAACTCCGAGGGTGGGGCTTTGGACTGATGGGGCACCCCTGATTCTTAAATCAAAGCTTTGACAGATGTTGAACAAAGCTTTGACAGATGTTGAACTCCGAGGATGAGGACTTGGACTGATGGAGCGCCCATGATTTTCAGATCACCGCCTCTTAGTGAGCTTGAACTCCGGGGGTGGGGCCTCGGACGCCCCTGTTTTTTTTAATCAGAACTCTTTCAAATCTTGAACTCCGAGGGTCGGGCCTTGGGTTGCTGGGGCACCCCTGCCTTCCTTCTAAGTCGCAACCCTTACAGATCATGAACTCCGAGGGTGGAGCCTTGGGTTTATGGGGCGCCCCTGATATCAGGTTTATCGGGTTTATCGGGTTTCTCGGGTTTCTCGGGTTTCTCGGGTTTCTCGGGTTTCTCGGGTTTCTCGGGTTTCTCAGGTTTCTCGGGTTTCTCGGGTTTCTCGGGTTTCTCGGGTTTCTCGGGTTTCTCGAGTTTCTCGGGTTTCTCGGGTTTCTCGGGTTTCTCGGGTTTCTCGGGTTTCTCGGTGCGCGTCCGCTGTTTGCGCGCGCAATGGATTGCTGCGATGCTCATTGCTCCGTGTTCCTCTCCCTTTTGAGGACGCCGCGAACCTACACTCCAAGTCCCTAGACCAAATCAGATCTTGTAGAAACTCACCGAAGCCCTCTGCCTCGCGCAACCTTGCAAGTCTTGCACTAACAAAAGCCCTTTAAGTTCTAGACACCAAACCTAGTAAACCTGATGCTATCTCAGATCCCACACCCCAAAGCCCCTAAGCGCAATTGCTAAGACTTCAAGCCCTCACAAAACCCTCCTGCAGGCCTGATTGCGCTGGCTGGCCGGCAAGCAGTCTTGAACATAAAGATTGCCGACCGGGCCAGTGGCAAATAGGAGGCCTGGCTGTGCTGCGGGTCGGGTTTTAGGGTTGAGGGTTTCGGGGTTGAAGACCAAAACTCTCTGAGATTTCAGCAATTTGGCAGGCTCCTAAACCCCAAGAACTAAACGCTTCTCGTTGGGATATCAGGATGATATCAGGCGGAGCAGTGGATGCCGTGACTTGACGGGGGGCCGGTGACAAAGCGCACGGCAGAGAGCACGTAGATGCTGCCACCAGTAAGGTGGGGAAGGGTGACCTCAAGTGGCTAGGCATCCTAAGCCCTGTTTAATCCGAAACCCTAAGTCCTGTCCTAGACCGTGGTCCCTTAAAGTCCTCACCTCAATGCTAAACCCTACATCCCAAACCCAGCTGGTCTTGAATCCTGGAAATCCTTGACCCCAGCTGAGTCTTAAATTTAAATGCCACGCGTTTCAATCGGAATGCTTCCAGGTCGAGCATTGCAGGGTTCAGGTTTTACTCACTGGAACCTAACTTTTCGGCGTGTAATAAGTCAGCTACAGAGTAGACTCCAGTTGGTTCCTCCGAGTTCCTCCATTGCAGCCATCCACGGCTCTAAATCCCATATGCAACACTGCACTCAACCCTACACACCCTACACGCGCAGTCTGCTGAAGTCTGAAGCTCTCAACCCTACGAGCCACTGGCACCCTGAACCTGCAAATAATTCTACAGACTCTCAAGAATCATTCGAATATGGCTTTGATGTGCATGATTTTTGTATTATGTAGGGGGCACACGGACCTGAAGGGGACACGCGCGCTGGCAGCGGCTCAAGCGTCCATATTAGCCGGGTGTCCGTAGCCAGCGTGCACAGCAGCAAACCAACAGAGGAGGCGGCGAGGAATTGAGCTTTGGTAAAGACCTCAAGGGCCTGGACGGCGCTTGGGCATGGGCCTAAACCAAAAACCATTGAACCATGAGGTTTCGGGTTCAGGGCTCCTCGGATGTAACAGTTTAGAACTAAGCCGTGGTAAAGATCTTCAGCGCCTTCCCGAGTCAAAACAGAAGCATCAATCCCTGAAAGACAAGTTAGGTGCACGACGCTGAAACAGTTTGGGGCAGTTGGGGGTTTGGATTCAGAGGCCTCGGGATGCCAGGTGCAGGATCCACTCGCTGTTCCTTTCTAAGCTATGGTTTAGATGATGTCGTTCTCAAGGTCTACGATGGTCTACGCTTCTTCGAGACAGATGCATCCCGCTTGAAAGCCCGAATCTTAAGCTCCGGTGCTCGTTTAGAGCGAGGGGTGTGACGGGCGGTGGCAGGCAGTAGCGCCGCCGCATCCAGTTCCGCCGTCGGGCTCGTCAACCCAGAGCGATAGTCAGGGTCGGGCTCCGGTTGGCAGAAAGCGATGGTTTCGGACATCTACAGGGAAACCCGCATCAATTCGTACCTGCCGCCAGCTCTGTGACAAGCTGCATCCAAACCGTACCACAACACCTGCCAAAGCTCTACACCCTGCATCTTGTTGGAAGGCCTGTAAACTCTGCAGCCGACAGCCTCAACACGATACCCACAAAACCCAAACTCATCCTGAAAACCTCAAGTCTCAGAGAAGCAAATGGAACCCGGTAGACCGAGCAGATCCTCAAAATCAGCATCTTGAGCCTCCCCGCAAAACCGCAAAGAGTCAACATCAGCTCTGATCGCCTGACGCAGTGTCACAGAGCCCACCAGCCAGCCGGCAAACAGCGCGGTGGCGCTCCTCTCTCTGGTGCGAGTTGTTTTTGGACTTCAGGGCTTGAGGGGTTCTGGGCTTTCGCTCGTGGCTTCTGGCCCGAAGTCCTTGAGTGAGTGAGTGAGTGAGTGAGTGAGCGAGCGACTAGCTGCACGAGGTGGTGCGCGCAGCAGCCATGCCTAAGGCGCCGTTCCCTCCTGGCTTCTCAGGGGGCTCCGCAAGCGTCATTGCCCCCTCCACTTGGAGTTCCCGCTGGCGAACGCCCCAACCCCAGAAACAACGTTATGAGGTCAGCAAAGACGGCCCAGTTTGGCAAGAGGGCATGCCAACAATCGCACGAAGTAGCAACTAGGCAGGCCCGCCACCGGCAAGCCGGCATAAGGGCAAGACAGCGTGCCATCCTCGCGGATACCCGTGCGATCAGGCTCTTCCCTTGAAGGTCCCCCTCCGAGGTACTAGGCCACGCAAACAACGTCCCTCTGCGTCGGGCTGAGCGCAGCCGCGAGCCAAATGGCAAGCACGCTTCTCTACAGATCCCTCTGCAGATACTAAGTGCGTATCGCGGCCCGTGTGCTCCCGGAACCCACTCACTCCCCACCGCTTTCCTGTAACAAAGGTGAAGTGGCAAGAGCTTCGCCACCCACCTGCAATCAGGTCCCGTACCAGTGTACCCTCTGAGTGGTGGGTGAAGGCCAAAACTCCGGCCAGCACCCCTCCGGAAGAGGGTGGCCCGAAGTCCTTCATCCGAAGGCTGTGTAGCTTGACGCCGTGAGGCTTTACGGTGTTGCCGTTGAGGGCTTCATTCGTCAGAGCGTTGCAGGAGATCGTACCGTGCCCAAACTCGACTCTAACATTAAAGCCCTTGAACCCCTGTACATGTTTAAATGCCAACAATCCCGCGGAAACAACAGCTGCCAAAGCAATCAAGCCCCAGGGCCCTTGGGTTGCAAGAAGTCACTAGATACACTATCGAAGCCCTAGTGCCACCCAAAACGCCAGACCCAAACCCCTGAAGCCGCAAACCTCAAGAAAACTTGAACCCGACAGCTGATACTATTGGCAGCCTATAGTTCCTGCTGTTTGACTGGGCTCCAGGGCAATGTGGCGGCGGTGAGGCCGGGCAGCTGTGGATCGGTTGCAAGCTTGCTGTCGATAAACCTTACTCAGGCTTTATGGTTTGGGGTTCATGTTTCAGGAGCTGCTCGTAGCATTGAGGGTGGGGATTGTTGTAGGACAGGGTTCCTTGCAAAAGGGTTGAGTCGTGGGAGTTGGGGCCTGCATAGAGCTCAGGGTGTGCATGAGTTGTGTCTGCTTTCGCGTTCAGGGTTTGGAACCCAGCACATTCATGGCGACTGTAGTTGTTTCTTCGGGCGTGATGACTGCTTAAAGGTTTCTGAGGGTCGAGCTGTTTGGGGATTGGTACTCACCCAATCAAAAGATGGGATCCATCAGACTTTTGCAAGTTTTATCACGGCTTTCAGGCTCCTGTCCGCATTAGATGCGTTACGGCACCTCATTTGTCGTCTTTGGTTTGATACCGGTTACTTCTCTCCCCGTGTGCGTGTGTGTGTGTGTGTGTGGGTGTGTGGGTGGGTATTATTATAAAGGTTCAGGAAGGAACTCTGGAGTCTTATCAGGGTTCAGACGATGTAGGGCTTTGAGTGCCGAATGCGTTCAGGCTGAGGGTCGGCTGCCGAGTCTGTGTGGACACGGGACGAGCTCTGGGCCCCATTGGGTTTCATCAAAAAGGACTCAAGAAGCGATGGTAAAGTCAGACATCCGAAGATGGTGAGACGGACTGTAGTCGCAGGATGCACGAGCGGCAAAACACCAGAAGTCATTCCTCTTTCGAAGCCCTGAAGACAAAAGAGCCCAGAGCCTGAGCCGGCCGGGCGGCACCGGCAAAGTGTGAAAGCATCCGCTGGCGCCGCAAAGCAGCACTGCCACCTGGAGCTTCCCGGAAGGAACGAACCCCACACCCTAGCTTTTCACGTTAAGATGAAAAAAGCCGAAGTATTTCCAGAAAGAACCCCCACAACAGAAAGGAGTTGCGTTTTCCCTGCACAGGACTTTGAGGCTTCGGGTGTGGGATCGGGATCACGACTCCTCAGCGGAAGCTCACAATTTCAGACACAGCAGCCCCCAGTGCTCGCAGCTGCTTCTGGCGATCCGTCTCTATCTGGACCTGCAGAGGACTTCGGGCGATGGGTTTCGATAAGTCGAGGCCGTCCACTTTGCCGTGTAAATCCTTCAGGCTTTGGGGTTTCGGTTTAGGGGCTCGAGACGGAGAGTTCAGGATGGCGAGTGTCAGAGAGTACTTGGCACGTCTCCTTAAACCAAGAGTAGGTTAAGGATTGGTGTGAAGTTTAAGGGTTAGGCGAGCAGCGTTTGCGGTTGCTGGACTCATTAACTGAGGACTTTGGGGCTCTAGCTCTAGCTGTATGCCGGATGATTGCTCGTACTGCACTATGTACTTGTACTGTACCTTCCTGGCCCTGGGATCAATCCAGGTCTGCTGTCGTAAATTTAGCAGCTGGGTGGTTCTTTGAGAAACTTCCCTTCTGGCTTCGCAGAGGAATGCGGCACTCTGAAAAATAACAGGACCCCAGCAAGGACCGTAGTTTGCAGAATCATCCGTTGAGCGCTTTGGGAAAGCTCCTGTGACAGGTCCCAAACCAAAAACTCTAAACCGTAATTCCCAGAACCTCAACTCATCTAACCCAAACCCTGTACACGCGACGGTGATTATCACACCAGGAAAGCCGAGGCTCGGATCCCAGGTGTCTGCATATGCCCGTGGGCTTATTCAGAGAAGACCGTTGAGAAGCCATGCTTCACAGTTGAAGGTGCCTCAACTACCGAATGGCGGGTACTCCGGGTCTAGGTGACGGAGGTGACGGTTTTAGAGTAGACCAGCACACCTCACCGGCGGCTTTCTGGGGAGCCATGGCCACAGTGCGGCGACTCTGGCGATGATGCACGACGCCTGGGCTTTGACAGGCTTTGAAAACAGCTCCGCATGCATTCATGACGCCAGGGTCGCTGCAGCTGGATGGGGGCTTTCTCAGAGTCGAAGTTGCTTGCTGATTTCGCGTCAATTTCGTTGATCCGACGGATTCCGGCCTTCAGGTGACAGCCGGGGACTATAGGCCGAGTGCCTCATTGACATCGGAAAGCTCTCGAAGCCTAACGCTAACCCTGAATCCTAAACCCTCATCTCATCTCCAACCCCTAATAACATCAAACCCGCTAGTTTACCCTAAACCAAACCTCAAACCCCATGTGGACCCTCTGGGCAAACGCTTGAACTTAAACGGCCAGATGCATGCGCAGCAAAAGACGCTCGCCAGATCCTGGACAATGTAAGGAGGCGAAAACGGCCTATATGTGCCCGCGCGTTCCACGTTCCTAATCCCCACTAATGTGCGAGCCCTGATACGTCATAACCACGCATCACATCAACAAGATTTGCACAATACTGTGCAAAGCGAAGCCTCTTCAGGCCCTCAAATCCTAGGCCCGAAAGGGGAGGGCCTAAGGTTGAATACGGCTTGAAGTTGGGTTAGCGATTAGGTTGGGGGATCAAGGTTCAGACGACGTTTTGTGCGTCAAAAAATGTCGGTCAGGGTCGGGTGGAGGGCATGGTGGTGAAGGATCAAGGTTTCGGGCCTACATCGATGCGTAGATAAGGATACAGGGAGAGGACAGCTTGGGGAGGTTTCCACAACCCAAGGGCACATAAACAACATGTTTTAAGTAAGATCTGTATGTTTTGAAGAAATATCCCCTGTAGTGTTCCTGCATACTTGTACGAATACAGCAGTATACCCCGGCTACTACGGCTCCTATAGGAACAACGGGCCGTTGGGAAGGAGTGTAGGAGCGCCCTCAAAGCAAGGACTTCATGGATGACCCTGAGCTAAGAGGGGAGCTGCAGACCCAAACTCAGGTCCTGCGTGCAGTGCTCTGGCGGTGACCAAAAGCGCCAAAACCGGCGATGGCTCGGCACATGTGGATGCAGGCCAACCCCGACGCCCGGAGTGGCCAACATCTCGAAGTCAGGGCTTGAAAAAAGATTGCTAGGGTTTAGGCTTCACGGTCTAGGGTTATGAAATGACCACTGCAAGCAAAGTTTCATGACTATGGCGATGAATTCCTTGCATAGTCCGGGCTCGCAGCATCAGCCGCATGACTCGAACCATGTTGACTCTTGGCTACGCCTCAGCCGGATCCCCCCTTTCGGACGACTCCTGACGATTTTTGTCACCTGCAATGCATCTACGGAATCTACGGTCCTTCATGCTTCGAGCCGTATAACAGATGATGTTCAGCAGCGTTGTGAACGACGTCAGTCTTACTCGTGATCATGACTGCTATAGAGTGGTTGCGTCTTTGGCACAATCGCTGCATTGCATTCAGCATCGGACTTGCTAGGCTAATCTTTTGGCGAGTTTTGCAAACCGGATATACAACAGCTTCTCTCCCGAACGTCCAAGACCTACAAACATTCGAAAGTCCTAAGCCCTGCGGAGCCGCAAAAACCTTTAACACCCGAACATCCGAAATGGCCCTAGATTCAACCCAAAGCCCCAGATCGTCGCCAAGCCCTGATAAGCAAACATCTACGCTCAAGCTACCATAACTTGAGGGATCCCAAAGGGTAGTTTATGAAAGGTTTTTGAAGATTTTTACTTGTTAGATTAGTAAGCCCTATAACAAGAACCGAATCCGGAGACCCGCCTACCAGTCGATGCTGCTGCTAGGGTTTATGGGCCCTTCGGGTTTAGGGCTTGATGGTGTGATCGTGCAGGATTTGGGGCATTTCGGTTGAGGGAAGGTCAGGTCACGGAGGCCTCGCTGGCATAGAAAGGGGAGAACTGTGAATCGCGGAGCCTCCACAAGAACAGTTTGGCTCAGCTTCGGGGCGTCGGGTTTCAGTCGGCCAAACAAGGGCTGTTGAGGGTCTGTAGGATTTAGGCGTCGGGGTCACGACGGCTTACTACTGCTTTGCATGGTGCTGAATCCAGCTTTAAGCTTACCATACCGTAATTACCGTCTTCGGTAGGGTGCCGATGCAGATGAGAGCCCATAAATGTGGGCTATGCTAGACTGATTAGCTCTTAAGAAGGTCCACGAGCCCTGGAACATAGATCCGAAAAAGTCCGCGAGAAAATATGACCTAAACCCTGAAACCCTGAACAGCTAAACGATCGACACGGATCTCCCGCCAGCCATAAACCCCTCAACGGCAACCCTTCAGACGAATTTTAAGAAACCGTCCGGCCGTCAAACACTACACCGTTTGTCTTGACTAAGAACCCATAACTGGCTTAACCATAATGTACACAACATGAAAACTTGTGACGCCATGTTCAGAAGTTCTCCCAGTGGGAACACGCCTCGACTCTGCGCCTGCGAAGTACTTCAATGCCAGGTCTCGCAGCCTGGGTTGGAAAAGGGCTGGGAAGAGCTTTGGATCCCGCATACAGCCTTTCCCTCTTTCTCCGTTGCCAGAAGCTGTAGCGACTCTGCCTCGAACAGGCCGTACTTATGGGGTTTGCCCACCGGCTCCGCCTGCACTTTAGACTTTAAGCCCGCCTCCCGACCCTGCGAAGCAGATCCTGGCATGCTCATGACACAACCCTCGTTGATGCTGCGCTCCTTTCCACGATCGTCGTGCGTGCTGCTTGCGGCTCAAGACAAAAGGCTAGAGTATTGGTCTCACCAGCTAACCAGCTGTTGGGGGATTAGGGTCGCTTGGTGACTTAGTGGCTTCGGATTTGCGGTTCAACATTCGATTGTTTTGCAAACGTATTGCAGTAACATGCCCTCGAAGTAAGGATGCAAAATCAGAATCACACTCCTAGAGCCTTCAGCTTAAACTGGTTAACTGAAGCCTTAACCCTTTTCCTGACAACCTACGCCCGAACTGCAGAATACCATCAAGAAACGCTCTCAAAACAAAGGGCCCTACTAGGCCGTAATACAGACTCAGATCGCAACAAATGCGTCCACAGCAGAACTCAAGCCTTGAACCATTCGGAACACTTCCAGGCCCGCTGCGAGTTGCTGATGTTGTGCGGGGCCCCACGGAAGAGGATATCCCCGACAATGTCCTTGAACAATGACAAGATAAAGAAGGCAAGTGTCAGGGCTCAGGGTGTAAAGTGCTAGCTGCTAGCGCTTTAGGGTCTACGGTGAAGGGTTTCAGGGGACGCAAAGGTTTAGAGTTGGAACACAAGCTTGAATACCCATTGTCAAGAGCTGCGAGGCCTCTGCTGGCTAGGGTTGAGAGTTAGGTCGGGACAGAGGTTGGCCAGGGGTTCAGGATGTCAAGCGTAGAAGTGACCCGAAGCCGAGGCGTAAAGAATTGAACTGGGGCCTAGGGTTGGGGGTTTCGGGGTTTGCCTGCACAGGCATCAGCAGCGTCTTTCACCTTTTCGGCCCCCCCCCTCTTCGCCGCCCCGCTCCGCTCCCCCCTTCTAGTAGTGTCAACTTTTCGGTTGGTGAACCCTGCTCCTCTCGCACTGCTTGCTGATCCTCCCATGCCATGGCATGCGAGCTTCACGCTTCCAGCAGGGGCTGCGGCGTTTTCTCCCTGATTATACGCTGTGGGTTTAGGTTTAGGCTTTCGGGTTTAAGGTTAAAGCTTTAAGGTTTGGGGTTTTCTAGTTGCGGGTTTCAGGCCTCTGGGCTTTGGTAGGCTTTCGGGTTGCTGCTTTCCAAAACAATGCACCACAGCCGGGCCGAGGCGGACGACGCGAAGCGTTTAAGATTAAACAGAACACAAACCCCTCAAGGGATCTAAAAAACAGAACCCACACAAAGGCGTCCTACCACAGCACGGGGTGAAGATAGGGCCGTTTTCAAGGGATCTAACTCGTCTAGATCCTTCAGAGAACTTTTCAGCGAACTTTCAGCTCCTAACCCGGCACTCGCCGTGCGCGCCTTGCCGTTGGTGTCCTCCACCAAAGAGAAGGCATTGCTGTAGTACCTGGATCTGAAGGGTTTAGCAAGCAGCAGCATTTCGCGTCTGATGGGGCCCTGGACTGAAACCCTCTTGCACGAAACTCTAAACCCTGTTCGCAGCCTGTTCAAGTTGCCACAATTCGAGAAAGCCCTACCGGGACAGTCCATGCACACTTAACAGAGGCTTTCTCGTCCTTGATACTGCGGGTACCTTGAGACATCTTGAGACCCACTCCAAAACCAAACATACTTTCAAGTCTTCCTTTCTATTCTAAGTCGTCTTGGACAATTCTCAGCCTTAAGCCGCACATTGCGTGCATGCTAGCTCAAACTGTAACCTGCTGTTACATTCCCAAATAATTCAACTTGACCGTATCCAATCGGCTCGCAAACGTGCGCGATTCTGGCTTGAAGCAACTGCTTTGAAAACAAAGGAGCCATGAAGCACACGCGGACGACCGTAGCAGAGGACCAGCATTTTTCGGGATCCGACTAAACGTGAGAACTTCAACATCAGGACTCATCCAGGCGCCCAATACGACGCCGTCACAAACACCGAAACAGCCACAGATTGGGTTTAGGGCCTTGGTTTAGGCTTTAGGATTGAAAGGTTTAAGGTTGGATCGACCCGGAACTATCCCAAAACCTCCCTGAGATTGCCGAACCTATCCCGCCATGAACCTATCAACACCTACTTCAACATACCTTGTCACCAGGAAAGCTATCTGTCTCTGATTGTCAGGACGACAAACGGCAGAGCCCAAAACTTTAAAGGCCTAAACGTTCCAATAATCCCCGTCCCTATGGCAAATATCTTGTTGCTCTTGAAACCCGACAAATATCCAAACCCTTCGCTCCCTGCAACTGCTTGGAACTACAGCCTTCCACACGAGCCCGCACCAAAGAACAATCACCTTGACCTGGAGCCTGAAGGGCCTGAACCGTGATTCTCCTAGACCCTAGCACCACAGCCCTCTTACTGGGTTCCCTGACGTGGGGGAGTCGCAAGCCAGGTTGATCCAAGGGCTGAAGCCCAGGAAGCCGGCCGGGGTCGGCAGGTCCCCCTGTGTGGCTGCTCGGGGCATTCTGGCTGGGAGTGTTTGGGAAGTCTTTGGGGGCAGCCCATGCTGCGCACCAGTAAAGCCTGCACTGAAGCGATGAGGACGATGATCATGGTGATGATCCTCCCGTTACTCTCATTGTTCCTCCATGCTACAATCTGTGGCAGACAACGAGCTGGCTGGCAGCAAGAAGAATATTGAAACTCGAACCCCGCCCCAAACACAAAACTCCAAAGCCTGCAGCTCTCAAGCCACAAGGAGCCCATCGTTTGAGCAACACCAGAGCCTCAAAATCCTAAACCCGAAACACACAAACCCGGATCTCGGCCCCCTGCACGATCTAGGAGCATCAGAAGCCTGGCAGACTGATCTCATGTAATGGGGGTGGGGGTTATTCAAAAGTGAGCCAGAGACTCCAAAGCGTTGCCCTTAAGGAATTGAATACTCCGTCTTAAGCCACATAGGACTCCTTGTGATAACATTTAATTCACGGATGTTGGAGACAGGAAAAATCCGTGCTAAGGAATTGCAGCATGTGTAGTGTAGGGGTTTCAGGGCTCTACGTAGGTTTAGGGTGTAGGGTCACAAACGGATGATAATGATGATGATGATGGTGATGATGACGACGACGACGATGATGATGATGATGATGAGAGTCTAAGTATCAAGGGTGACAAGAAAGTGGTGTCGCGTGAGGATGTCCCGCTTCTGGATAAGCGTGAAGGAAGGTATGCGCAAGTTCGCAGAATCGCAACTAAACTGTGCTTACCAAACCAAAGAACTTCGACTGAGAGTCGGTCGCTTGGAAAATCAGAGTAGGATCCCCAACAGCACCCAAACGTACAGCAAGCTGAAGAAGGTTGTGATGCTCTATCAGGGGCTGAGTTTCAATGATTTCAATGGTTGATGTTTGCTTCTCCAGGTTCTGATCCCTCAATGCCCGATGCTGAACTGGGATGAGTGCACAGAGGCATCAGTGGGTGTCTCTTAGTCTGGAGCATTCATGCGGGGATGTTTGGAG